TGAGAATTTGGGAATTTGTGAAATTGGGGATTTGGAAATTGGCATTCACTAGATTAAATTTGAGAGAATTTGGAAATTTGCAAATTGGAAATTTTGAGAATTGAGGATTTGGGAATTTTGGGGAGTTGGAAAATTTGGCTTTTGAGAATTTGGGAATTTGTGAAATTGGGGATTTGGAAATTGGCATTCACTAGATTAAATTTGAGAGAATTTGGAAATTTGCAAATTGGGAATTTTGAGAATTGGGGACCTGGGAATTTTGGGGAGTTGGAAAATTACACTTTCAAGAATTTGAAAATTTGGAATTTGTACGCATTTAAAAAATCAAGTCTCTGAAAAGTCCAAAATTTCATAATTGATAAATCTGTAAACATACATTCCCCTCGCCATGTAACCTAACCAATTAACCTCATGAATAAAACATCCAATTAACTTATCAATTAATATACATTTTTTCCTTAATTGTACACTTTCTAAAGCTCGATAAAACAATATACATATATCAATCAAAGTGGTTCCTCAAACAAGTGACATAACAAAAAAAGCATAAATTAAGTCGAATTTCAGGTTCGTAAACCGCGCAAGATTTGGGCCAACGCTACGTGAAAGTATAATAGTTATTAGCATATTTTTAAAATGGGCTTACGAGTTTACCTCAACCAACCACAAAACACCACATCTCGAAAAATTACGAAACGATATTTTGCTTTCGGTAACCGAATTCGTTGATATAATACAATTGTTATGGAATATCCATTAACAAGGATAAACGACGCCATTTTAGGCAACTGCCATTTCTAGCTCGAAATCTTGCGTAATCGTCCTTCATGATGCAATCGAGATTATTTCACTTCGGTTACGTAATTTTTTATTCCCCTTCGGTTCGGTTTGTAATAAATTTCCTTTTAGTTACTTTCATTTACAGTTTCATTATTTTTGTCGGACACTAATACCATATACTTGTATTGTTTATATTTTATAGTACATTATACTAACATTAAGAGCAATATTTATATTTGTAAATGTTCTTTTTAAGTACTTAAAAATTTTACTTAAAGAACATTCATTATCAAACATTTATATTAAAGTGAGGTCAATAAAAAATAATTGAAGAAGTTCAATCTATGATCAATAGACTTTGAAGAATTGTTTGAACCTTCTGTCATTTATATTTGTAACTGTTCTTTTTAAGTACCTTCAAATATTATTTTTAAAAAATTCATTATGTTCATGTAAAAGTGAGGTTAACAAAAGGTACCTTCAAAAATTATTTACAGAAAATTCATTATATATATTCATGTAAAAGTGAGGTTAACAAAAGGTACCTTCAAAAATTATTTACAGAAAATTTATTATATATATTCATGCAAAATTAAGGTTAATAAGAAGTACCTTCAAAAATGATTTACAGAAAATTTATTATATATATTCATGTAAAAGTGAGGTTAACAAAAGATACCTTCAAAAATTATTAACAGAAAATTTATTAAATATATTCATGTAAAATTGAGGTTAATAAGAAGTACCTTCAGAAATTATTTACAGAAAATTTATTAAATATATTCATGTAAAATTGAGGTTAATAAGAAGTACCTTCAGAAATTATTTACAGAAAATTTATTAAATATATTCATGTAAAATTGAGGTTAATAAGAAGTACCTTCAGAAATTATTTACAGAAAATTTATTAAATATATTCATGTAAAATTGAGGTTAATAAGAAGTACCTTCAGAAATTATTTACAGAAAATTTATTAAATATATTCATGTAAAATTGAGGTTAATAAGAAGTACCTTCAGAAATTATTTACAGAAAATTTATTAAATATATTCATGTAAAATTGAGGTTAATAAGAAGTACCTTCAGAAATTATTTACAGAAAATTTATTAAATATATTCATGTAAAATTGAGGTTAATAAGAAGTACCTTCAGAAATTATTTACAGAAAATTTATTAAATATATTCATGTAAAATTGAGGTTAATAAGAAGTACCTTCAGAAATTATTTACAGAAAATTTATTAAATATATTCATGTAAAATTGAGGTTAATAAGAAGTACCTTCAGAAATTATTTACAGAAAATTTATTAAATATATTCATGTAAAATTGAGGTTAATAAGAAGTACCTTCAGAAATTATTTACAGAAAATTTATTAAATATATTCATGTAAAATTGAGGTTAATAAGAAGTACCTTCAGAAATTATTTACAGAAAATTTATTAAATATATTCATGTAAAATTGAGGTTAATAAGAAGTACCTTCAGAAATTATTTACAGAAAATTTATTAAATATATTCATGTAAAATTGAGGTTAATAAGAAGTACCTTCAGAAATTATTTACAGAAAATTTATTAAATATATTCATGTAAAATTGAGGTTAATAAGAAGTACCTTCAGAAATTATTTACAGAAAATTTATTAAATATATTCATGTAAAATTGAGGTTAATAAGAAGTACCTTCAAAAATGATTTACAGAAAATTTATTAAATATATTCATGTAAAATTGAGGTTAACAAAAAGTACCTTCAAATGTTACTTTTAAGAAAATTCATTAAACACATTCGTATAAAAGTGAGGTTAATAAAAAAAGAATTAAAGAAACTGTTGAATAGTCATTGAAGAATGATTAGAAGTTAAGAAAGAAAATTATGATAATGTTGTTTAGTAGATCAATATAGAAACCTTGAATTTCCTCGAGCATACGCTATCAGCTTATTAGCGCCAGCAAAATGGCGGTGGTAGCTGTAGAAGGATAATCTTTGCGTTCACCACTCTTACTCACGTACGTGTTCGTTAACGGCCAGAATACAAAAGACCCTAAGTGTTTCTTTCTGTGGAAAAGTAGGGGAATCGATGGACACGCGAATGTCTCCCCAGTTCTCTTCATTCATGTCCTGCTCTATCTTCAAGTAGTACTGAAACATCCTTGAAAAAAGGTGCATCGTCCGCGGAAGGCGGTATTTTCAAAATATTCAAAAGTTGTTAATTATTCATTATATTAAATCATAAAAATTATTGTTCAGTTGTGTGATTGCAGACTCGATGAGTGACAGATTGTGAAATTATTTAAAATTGTGCTGAAAATTAAAATGGGGATATCGGTGATATACGAAAGGGTACAATTCTGCAACTTCTCAAAGTTTAATTCGTTCAATTTTTAACTATCTTTCTGTTCATTGCGCCTGAATTTTGTGTAACAAGTATTTAAATACCTCTGTGACGATTTTCCTTAAACGGCAATATAGCGAGAGTACAACGTTCTCCTTCTGCGAATTTACAGGAATTAAACAGAATATCCTGAAACCTAAACATAGTTCCACAGTTTTAAACGAGTAGAATCATTTGTTTATAGCAAACTCTGTACTTAAAAATTAAAAAATAAAAATGTGAAAATATAAAAAAATTGTAGAAATATTTATTCGAAAGAATAGTTTACTCCTCGACCAAGTTATGGTTTGTGAAGGAAGTGAGAAAGAACTTGATATATGGACAAGTATACTTGATATATGGCCGTTCATTCCCGGTGGTCTTCGGATATCAGATCTATAAAGAAAACCGATTTTCTTGAAAATCGATGTAACGAGTTCGATATGAAAGAAGAAGAGAAAGCCTTAAATAAATCTTAGGCGGTGATAAATCTTTACCGCATGAAAAACGGCGATCCGAGCTGCATACTAACCGGCGATAAGAGTCTAAAAGAATATCAACTTCTTTTCTCGTAAGATCTTTGACACGTTTGCACTATGAAGATTGAGATAATATGTTTGTTGTCGGTGTTGATCGTGCTACCGGCGGCGGGAGGATCGTTTATGGATCTGATAAGAAGAGTTTTTCAAATAGGAACGGTGAGTTGCTTGAAGAGAAATGATTGGAGATAGTAGAGATGTGAATGAAAGGTGGTATTTGTTGTAAGTTTATTGTTGTCTTTTGGTGTGGAGTTTTGAGAGTTTGGAGGTTTTGTTATTGTTGGAAGTGGTTGCTTGGTAATTCCCTGCGTTCGGGGCTCTGGAGGCGGGAGATGGCGGGAGAGAATAAGTGGATATTTGGAATTTGGGAGATTTAGAAGTTGGGGGATTTGGAATTTGGGGTATCTGGAATTTTGGAAATTTGGAAGTTGGGGAATTTGGAATTTGGGGGGTTTGGAATTTGGGAGATTTGGAAGTTGGCGGATTTGGGATTTGGGATTTGGGGAATTTGGAATTTGGGGGACTTGGAATTTGGGGGGTTTGGAATTTGGGAGATTTGGAAGTTGGGGATTTGGGATTTGGAGAATTTGGAATTTGGGGGATTTGGGATTTGGGGAATTTGGAATTTGGGGCGCTGGGAATTTGGGAAACTTGGAAATTGGGGGATTTGGAAGTTGGGAGATTTGGGATTTGGGGAATTTGGAATTTGGGGAATTTGGAATTTGGGGGATTTGGAATTTGGGGAATTTGGAATTCGGGCGCTGGGAATTTGGGAAACTTGGAATTTGGGGGATTTGGGATCTGGGGAATTTGGAATTTGGGGGACTTGGAATTTGGGGGATTTGGAATTTGGGGAATTTGGAATTTGGGGGATTTGGAATTTGGGGCGCTGGGAATTTGGGAAACTTGGAATTTGGGGAATTTGGGATTTGGGGAATTTGGAATTTGGGGGATATGGAATTTGGGGAAGGGGGTGCTGGAATTTGGGGAATTTGCAACTTACGGATTTGGAATTTGAGACACTTGAAATTCGTGAGACGTGGAATTTCGGGAATTTGAAACTTGATAGACTTGGAACTTGGGGTATTTGGAAAGAATCCAAATAAAAATTGAAAATTGTGTATAAATGACTCCATCTAGAATCAAAAGCACCTAACGTCCTTATAACGAGAGTCCACTACACCAACGTCATATCACAATAACCCGAAACGTCACACAGTCTCGTTACAATCCCCATTACGTCAAACCGGAAGAACTAGTAAGCAACAGAGAAGGAAGAAACGCTTAGCATTCCTCCCGATGAGAGAAAGAGTACAACTTTTCTTTTCATTGATTCACTAACAGGTTTTGTTTGAGGTCGCATTCGATCGACCCACTTCGATCGGCACACTCTTTGGTAGTTGTTAAATGATCGATGTGCGACGGTATTTAATCCACGTGGTGGTATAATGCAAATGAAAGAAAGCAAACGTGTCGACGTGCATCGTGTGCTAAATACACTATTCCATCGCGAAGAAACCGTGCATGTACCGGACACGACATTGCGAATGCGGGAATAACGCGAACACTGAAACTTTCATCAATTTATACGATCACTCTCGTTTTCTACGATTCGTTTGCATATTTGTATGACGACTTCCGGTTCGCCCGATTTACACCTTCGTAAACATAGGTCGCTATTGCCATAACGTCATAAAAGTTTGATTAAGGTACTTAAAAAAACTTGATGTGTATTGTGAGGTATGTTATAACATGTTGGTATGAAAAATTGTTGTATATAAGCTGTTTATTAATGTACTACGCCTGCCTCACAAGAAGTCGCTCGCGTCTCATTGGTCGACGCGGTCACATCTTCATATAAGTCAGATTTACCACATCTATATATAACCGAATAGTGTCGCGAAATTTCTTATAAAACAGTATTTAAATATAGCTAAAAATTGTTGTATGTTTGCATATTTGTATGACGACTTCCGGTTCGCCCGATTTACACCTTCGTAAACATAGGTCGCTATTGCCATAACGTCATAAAAGTTTGATTAAGGTACTTAAAAAAACTTGATGTGTATTGTGAGGTATGTTATAACATGTTGGTATGAAAAATTGTTGTATATAAGCTGTTTATTAATGTACTACGCCTGCCTCACAAGAAGTCGCTCGCGTCTCATTGGTCGACGCGGTCACATCTTCATATAAGTCAGATTTACCACATCTATATAAAACTGAATAGTGTCGCGAGATTTCTTATAAAACAGTATTTAAATATAGTTAAAAAATTGTTGTACATAAGCTATTTATTAATGTACTACGCCTGCCTCACAAGAAGTCGCTCGCGTCTCATTGGTCGACGCGGTCACATCTTCATATAAGTCAGATTTACCATATCTATATAAAACTGAATAGTGTCGCAAGATTTCTTGTAGGTTAAGAGATGTAATATTAATTTTTCCAGAACGACCTTGAGAAAAGCGGAGTGCAATACCCTGTGATGTACAGTGGAGTAAGAAGTCAACCCCGAGTTCCTGATTACGTTCCTTTTCCCTGTGATGTTCGATATGGACGGTACGTTTACACTTGAAAAAATGACATTAAACTTACATAGCACTGGCACAGATATTATGTGCATAAGTGGGTTAGGTTAGGTTAGGTTCGTTGTTATAATAGTAACTAACCACGTCCAACTGAACTTGGACGGTACGTTGACATTTGAAAAAATGACACTAAGCTTACATAGCACTGGCACAGATATTATGTGCATAAGTGGGTTAGGTTAGGTTAGGTTAGTTGTTATAATAGTAACTAGCCACATCCAACTGAATTGTGATTATATATTACTACATATTGATTAATGAAGTGCCTCTTCTTAGATCGCCAAACGTGCCTGACAGTGTGCATCGTTTACGACCCGGTGACATAGATGTAGTCGGTGGCCTAGGGGATTCACTAGTCGCTGGAAGTGGCGCTCTGGAGGAGTTTGCTATAGGGACTTTCATAGAAGCGCGGGGAGTCAGCTGGTGTGTAGGAGGACAAGGAGACTGGAGAAGATTTTTAACTGTTCCTAATTTGTTAAAGGTAAGGTGTGATTTAGGAATTTAGGGATTTAGGGAGCTAGTAATTTGAGAGTTCTTTAAGTCCCTAGTGAATTTAAAATTTGAAAACATCGGAGGTTGCGAAATGGTTAATTAAAAAATCTGAAAATGAAGAAATGTGGAAATTGAAAAATTTACAAAAACGGATAAATCGATGAACCGGCAATATATCGAGAGTCTACTGTAAAGTTCCATGTACGGATTCTGTGATTAGAACATTGAATCGTTTCAGGTATTTAACCCAAATTTAGTGGGTTATTCAACGGGCACAGGCGAGTTCATTTCGACGAAAGCGAAGTTGAACATCGCATTTCCTGTCGCGGCTACCGAGGACGCGCTGCATCAGGCTCGCATCCTCGTTCAGAGAATTAAAAGGAATCCCAGGATAAATATAAGAAAACAATGGAAGGTATTGTCAATTATAATAGAAATCTGTTTTATAAATATTTGACTACTTCTTATATTGCAGCTGATCACTATCTTCTTTGGCGCAAACGATATTTGTTCCGCGCAGTGCTTCAGTCCAATCAAATTCTCACCGGTCCGATACGCTCTTCATTTACGAAGGGTGTTGGACTTCTTGGAAGTTGCTCTACCTCGAACTTTAGTCAATCTCGTGCCAGTTATAGGTGAGTTCTAATCCCGCTTAACTTGGTAATTCATGATATTGCACGATTAATGACGGAAACTGCAATGGGATCTCGATATTTCCCTGCTACAGGGGCTTTAGAGAAAAAAATTACATATGGCATTTAATACGTGTGTGAACAATCTGTATGAATTCAAAGTGTTTACTACGACTTCTTGGAAGTTGCTCTACCTCGAACTTTAGTCAATCTCGTGCCAGTTATAGGTGAGTTCTAATCCCGCTTAACTTGGTAATTCATGATATTGCACGATTAATGACGAGTTTGATTTCTGGACCTCGATATTTCCCTGCTACAGGGGCTCTAGAATAAAAAATTACAAATGATGTTTAACACGTGTGTAAACAATTTCTATGAATTCAAAGTGTTTACTAGCGGGAATTTATGTAACAGGGAAACATCAAGGATCTATCGCTTTTTCTTTGCATTTTAGTTTGATTTCTGGACCTCGATATTTCCCTGCTACAGGGGCTCTAGAGTAAAAAGTTACAAATAGTGTTTAACACGTGTGTAAACAATCTGTATGAATTGAAAGTGTTTACTAGCGGGAATTTATGTAACAGGGAAACATCAAGGATCTATCGCTTTTTCTTTGTATTTTAGTTTGATTTCTGGATCTCGATATTTCCCTGCTACAGGGGCTCTAGAGCAAAAAATTACATATGGCGTCTAACACGCGTATAAACAATCTCTATGAATTGAAAGTATTTACTACCGGGAATTTATGTAGCAGGGAAACATCAAGGTTCGTGTTTTCTTTGTATTTTAGTTTGATTTCTGTGCAGATGTCACAGTTTCCCTTAGGCTACCAAGAAGTGCCATGTGCAACATTTTGCATCCGCTGTACTGTGCTTGTATGCACAGAGGCAATCGACCGGATATTACAGCTTCTAAAATGTCGCAGTTCTACCAACAGGCTGTAGAAACATTAATATATTCTGGAAGGTAAATAAACTTATAATTCATGAAATAAATAAACAAATAAACGTTTCTTGTAATTAAATAGTTTCACTTTGGAAACAACTTTTGTAAAGATATCGAGTAACTTTGCAGTTGTTCAATATTTTAAACACTCTCATTATATTGCCGTTATTATACTTTTACTGCGTTTGAAATTTTCAATTGCTCTAAATAAAAGGTTCTCAAGCATTTATAAATTTTATAAGGGTTTTCGACAGTCAAGCTTGATATATTGCCGATTTCGAGAATCCACTACTACAGCATCATTTCTGGCAATATAACACGAGACCGTTGTTGTTACCTATACACTGCCTTATTTTCTGATAAAAATTTTATGATTAATTCTTTCTAATTCAGGTATGACAATTCTCCAGAGTTTACGGTGGTGTTGCAACCATTTATCAAAGTATTCAATGCACCAAATGCGGATCCCAGTCAAGCGGCACCGATCGATCCCAGTTTGGTTACTTACGATTGCTTCCACTTTAGCCAGAAGGGTCATGCATTAGGTAAGGAACGACCAATTAAATTTCTTTCAAATGCAATCAAATTTTTCACATTTCCATATATCGCCTATTCGCAACTACATCTTCTACGTGTTGACAATGGATTGCATATCAACAGGCGTTCCCAAAAAAATAAATACTGTTATTTCATATTATTTTACTGCAAAATGACGAGACGAATTAAATTACGATTATCAAGCTTTAAATAATTAAATAAATAAAAAATTTAACAAAAATATATTATGTACCTACGGTCGATAAGAATGATTTCTGAAGAAGGAAATTTAAATTCAATTACTTTATTTGTTATATAATAAATAAATGAATTTTATTGGCAAGAAGGGGATTTTCTATTTGTTAGCTTTAAAAAACAAAAGTTTAAGTTTGTAATTGAATTATGTTGATTTTATGCACGCCTGTATTTATGCAACCATTAGAGTCATAACTCTCATCTAATCTAGTCTACTTTGACCTAATCTGGTCTAACTCAGCGCAACGTGACCTAACCGACCTATTATCTAATATCAACCAAACATAATTTAACATAGTTTTATCATTCCCATAGCAGTTTATATATAATCTAACCTAATTTCTAATAATAATAATAATTAAGTTAACATAATACAGCTATATACCTTAAGTTTGATTAAATTAGTTGAAACAAAAATAAATAGACACAAATTCATTCTCATTCGTTTTAACATCGTATTGTTATTATCATTCGCCGATAACTATATCGCCACCGACGCTCTCAATATATTGCAGAAATTCCTCCCAATGAAGAAAATTTCCCTGCACAAAACCGTTACATCATTCTAAATGCAAACATAGATCTAAAATTTATTCCAAGATTTCAAAATAAATTTCTGCGATGCTTGCATAGAGACCCACGTGCAACTATTTACGTAACATGGCCAGAATAAAAGAGCAAACCACTTAAAGCAACGTCGCATATATCGCGAAGTCAAGTAGCGAAGTTAACTTTTTATGAGAGAGGTCAATGAAGAGTCAGGGATAACGGTTTGCACTTGAAAGAGTTGGAAAAGATTGGTTAAGACATTTCTCCTTTGAAGGCACTAGTTCTGAGGGTCTCTGGCGGCGGAACTCAGAAGCTTTAAACATGGCTGTCCTTGTTCCTCCATAACCAAAAAACAAAGACGAAAACTATTTTTTAAATGAAGGATATAATTTAAATGTCCAACTCAAAAGAATCAAGAATGCGCATGTGCATACTGTAAAAGTATGACGGTCGAAAAAGAATAGTTTAAACCCGCATATTCACCAATAATTTATTTCTAATAAATATTTTGCCACGTCTCTGTAACACATTCATCCGTAATTTCTTGTGATACATAGTTTTTCATTTTCTCACAAGTTATTTGTAATAATCATTTCCGTAATACATATTCTTCAAATATATTTTGTAGAGCAATCATTTTGGTATATTCTTTTCTTCTCAACTTTTCAACGCCGTGAAATTGATAAAAATACCTCGAAAGACGATATTAGTAATATACAGAAAATTTATTACAAATATATTCGAAATTATTGGAGATCGACATGAAAGTAGTTTTGCTCGATTTAAATTTCCCGCTCGTTTGTACGAGCAATTTAAAGGGACGGAGATCAAAGGACAGAGAGTGTCGCCTCTGGTTTACTCTGTGTCTATGGATAGCTAGGGATCATTTAAAATTGATAGAAGTGATTTTATTCCAGGAGCAAATCTTCTATGGAACAACATGCTAGAACCGGTGGGTAACAAAACCGATCAAGGATTACCGGAAGTGTTCGAGCGGATCCTGTGCCCCAGCGAGCGGACGCCGTACATTTTCACGAACGTGAACTCCAGACATTTCCGACTAACGGGCAGCCAAGACGGCACAATGGACAGATAACGAACAGACATACGCGCCGATAGCGTTTGCTTTCACTCGAGATATCGTTGATACGGCGTCTCTATTTACGAATAATTCCTAAGTCAAATGGAAAATTTGACGTTCGAGTGGCGCCGAAAGCCGATACTTCTTATCGCACTTTTGTGGATACGCAGCTTCTAGGAAACCTGATCTACCTATGTTTATGCTGTGATCGAATGTTTGAGGATTTACACGTGCGATTCAGATGCGAATGCAACTTTTGAAAGAATTTCATATTCTTTTTGTTCTATTAATAATTTCGCGCTCGAAATGTTGGCAGTAGGATTAATGTGAATCTTGATGGTACATGTGCCAACTTAGTGGACGTACAGTAATGATTATTTATATTTAAGTTAATAATTGAAGGTTGGGTGTATGGAGGAGTTATTTTGTTGCGAGTCGTGTGTCTGACTTGATGGCACCTGGAATCCATGTAAAACCTATTGGTCCATGTGCCAACTTAGCGGACGTACAGTAATCATTATTTATATTTAAGTTAATAATTGAAGGTTGGGTGTATGGAGGAGTTATTTTGTTGCGAGTCGTGTGTCTGACTTGATGGCATTTGGAATCCATGTACAACCTATTGGTCCATGTGCCAACTTAGCGGACGTACAGTAATCATTATTTATATTTAAGTTAATAATTGAAGGTTGGGTGTATGGAGGAGTTATTTTGTTGCGAGTCGTGTGTCTGACTTGATGGCACTTGGGATACATGTAAAACCTATTGGTCGATGTGCCAACTTAGTAGACACACACGGTACATATTTAAAATTAATAATTAGAAATTGGGATTGTTGCGAGTCGTGTGTCTGACTTGATGGCACCTGGAATCCATGTAAAACCTATTGGTCCATGTGCCAACTTAGTAGACACACATGGTACATATTTTAAATTATTAATTAGAAATTGGGGGTAAAGAGAAGTTAATTTGTTAAGGGTGGTGTGTCTGACTTGATGGCACTTGGGATACATGTAAAACCTATTGGTCCATGTGCCAACTTAGTAGACACGCATGGTACATATTTTAAATTATTAATTAGAAATTGGGGGTAAAGAGAAGTTAATTTGTTAAGGGTGGTGTGTCTGACTTGATGGCACTTGGGATACATGTAAAACCTATTGGTCCATGTGCCAACTTAGTAGACACACGATACATATTTCAAATTAGTAATTAGAAATTGGGGGTAAAGAGAAGTTAATTTGTTAAGGGTGGTGTGTCTGACTTGATGGCACTTGGGATACATGTAAAACCTATTGGTCCATGTGCCAACTTAGTAGACACACATGGTACATATTTTAAATTATTAATTAGAAATTGGGGGTAAAGAGTACTTATTTTCTTAAAAGTAATACGTCTGACATGATGGCACTTGGAATCCATATAAAACCTATGGGTCCATGTGCCAACTTACTAGACACACACGTGTAAAAAGTACTTTAAAAATAACGAATGTCATCAGAATTTTTAAAGAAATACACTTCATATATTTTTGATAAAATATTTTTATTTGTAAGTGGAGAGATACTCAATCTAGTTTAATTATATTTTCTGAAATTTAAGTAGACACGTGAACCCAACGCTATATCCTGTGAATATACAAATACAAGAATAAACTAATTATTTAAATTTATTTCAAATTTTTTTCAAGCACTTCCACTCAACACCGAATAAAGAATATATTTTTTCATAAAACGTATCAATTTTTTTGTTATTAATGGACGTGTTTTATGTTAAGTATAGTTTCTTAATATTCATTATTACTATTATTGAGCATGTTTTATCAATCTTTTTTAATATTTATGTTGAACATGGTTCTTTGATATTCATTATTTAAATTTCTTTTATCATTTATATTGAAAAATATGTTTTAGATTAATTTTATAACTCATACTGAATGGTGCTCAATTAATTTTATTATTCATACTGAACATTAATTTTAATATACATTATGTTCAATTAATTTTAATATACATATAAATTGAACGTAATTGTTTAGTTAACAGCTGAGCCATATTTGATGAGTTTTATTTGACAAGAAAATTTGAGCGTTTCAAGAATAACTGATAAATCGTTATCACGTATTCTGCACTTGAATTTTTGTAATCCAAAGGTAACTGGCAATTCACCGACCGTTCTGCTATTAACCGATAAAGAGCAATTAAAATTCCGATGCTGTAATGGAGAACACAGCACACAGAAGAAAACTTGTCAGGTTCATCATTTGAAACTCTAATCGTGAATCGTAAAAGATCATACGCAAAAATAAGATGTACGATAATTACTTGCTCTCAGTGTTAAGGGATTCAAAAATATTGTGTCACGGATAACGTTCTCTGCGAACTTTCATATAGCAATTTTAATCACATAATAAAACCGAAATTGATACTTAAATCGTGTATTTAATTAAACTTACCGTCATAAAGATCAAATGGTGGGTTATAATGGTGTTTACAAGTAAAAGACACAGTGTATAAAACGCAACGAGAAAATAAAGTATAGACAGAAGAAAAAAAACATGGTACTTTCACCGATGTTTCTTATGTTTCATGAAAGGTGACCTTGAGTCGACGGCAATAAAACTAAAAGAATCGTTAGCCTTCGATTATCGCGGTTTTTGTTTCGACCGGTATTTCCATGCTTTCGAAAATTGTGTCAAGTATGATTATATCGGTCTTCGGGTTATTGGATATAGTGGTGTTAACTTATTAGTTGGTGCGTGGGGATCATATGCTTAGAAGAGCTATGGTTGAAATTTTCCACGTTCCCCGATTCCTACATTTCCCAATCCCACATTCCCCAATTCCCACATTCCCCAATTCCCACATTCCCCAATTCCCACATTCCCCAATTCCCACATTCCCCAATTCCCACATTCCCCAATTCCCACATTCCCCAATTCCCACATTCCCCAATTCCCACATTCCCCAATTCCCACATTCCCCAATTCCCACATTCCCCAATTCCCACATTCCCCAATTCCCTACATTTCCCAATTCCACATTCCCCAATTCCCACATTCCCCAATTTCCAGATTTCCCTATTCTCACACTCCCCAATTCCCACATTCCCCAATTCCCAGATTTCCCAATTCTCACACTCCCCAATTCCCACATTCCCCAATTCCCACATTTCCTAATTCCACATTCCCCAATTCCCACATTCCCCCATTCCACATTTCCCAATTCCCACATTCCTTCAATTCCCACATTTCCCAATTCCCACATTCCTTCAATTCCACATTCCCCCATTCCACATTTCCCAATTCCCACATCCCCCAATTCCACATCCCCCTATTCCTAAACTCCCAAACTCGCCAACTCCTAAATACCTAAATTCCCAAACTTCCAAATAACGCTGGCTACAGTGCACAGAGCTTCCTATGCAGCATAACACACCACGTAGCAAAAGTGACAAAAATGACACGTGTTTTGATTGAAGAGTATCATCATACGAGAACAGAAGGTGACATAAGCTACCTGGTATGCAGAACTTTGTCTTTACCCATTTCCTTCCCGTCTTTCAACAAATTCATTTAGCGGCAATAATCCAAGATATAGAAACCCGTTACGTCTATGAAATTTGCATGCGTTCGTTGCTCGAATAATCCGTCGGTTTTATCAATGACTAAACAGAATTTATGTAAGTATTCTGTGCGTACGACGCGTCACATAAATTATAACCTGAAAAATTCTACCACTTTTTCTTTCGTTTCGACACTAACGTTTATAGCTTTCGTTCTTGTCTCCATTATTGAATATTATGTCTTACAGAGGTATTATTAAATGTAATTGACAAAGTATTTATTAATGCCCATGACGCAGACGAAGTTTTACTACGTCGCAATGAATTGATTGGTAGATTCGATCGGGAAGCCTTTAGCCAGACGACAGTTGTACAACCTCGGTGTTCCCACATTTTCTCATCGAGTACACATGTTCATTCACGTCGTTCTGTAATTTGTAACTAAGACGTATCTCGCCTTGATAACGAAAGTAGGCCAACGGTCTTTAAAGTGTATCGATGCAAGATTACTTTTGCAACACGCAATATGTTGCGTTTTTCCTCCTCTAACCTCTGATATAAATTCGTATGTGGTAATAAATGTACAGATGTCAACCCACTAGTTGGCGCGGGGTGGACAGTTTCAAATTTTAGATAGCTCTTGATAAGTGTCCACATGCAAGTTTACGTTCCATTTGAAAGAGACTTTAGATAGGTGCCCTCGGTAACTGTCCACATGATACCTTCAAGTTTTAGACAGCTTCAGATGTCGACAATCGACATACAGATAACCCACGAGATGCCGCGTGACCCAAAGTAAAAGAAGCTCCTCACCGTGAACACTTCCAGTTACATTTCGGCGCATAAGAATAATAATGACAACAACTGCTGAAGGCAATGGCTATCTCGCTCACTCGAGAGACGTTTGCCGACTCTCATTGTTTTTCGCCTAATCGGTGCGCGTGACCGGCGAGAGCCAATTGTTCCGCCGAAAATACGTGTGAGGCGTCCATTTTTCTATTCTGACTAGCTCTTCTAAACACGTCGGCTTCGCGCGCCAACTCGTGGGTTGACATCGGTATTGTACTTTTAGGCGCCATCTTAAATGTACACCGATTGCAAATGGCGGTTTGGCGTCAGCTGAGCGTCAGCAGATTTTTGTTGATTTTTGCTCTTCGCCAACTCGTGGGTTGACATCGGTATATAGATACGGAAGTTTAGGGACTATAGACTTGGATATAGAGAGTGGGGTATTGAAATTTGGGGATTTGGAGATCTGGGATGGGGATATATGAGGTTTGGAGATATAGGGATGAAGGGACTTTAGAATTTGGGGTATTTCAAAATTTGAAAAGTGGAGTATTTGAGAATTTGGGGCTTGAGAATGTGGGACTTTGGAAATTGGGAAATTGGGAAACTGAGAATTGGGGGGTATGGAATTGGATAATGTTGGAATTGGGGAATGTGGGAATTGGGGAATGTAGAATTGGAAAATGTGGGAATTGGGGAATGTGGAATTGGGGAATGTGGAATTGGGAAATGTGAGAATTGGGGAATGTAGGAATTGGGGAGTATAGGAATTGGGGAATGTGGAATTGGGGAAAGTGGAATTGGGGAATGTGGCAATTGGTAAATGTGGGTATTGGGAAATGTGGGAATTGGGGAGTATAGGAATTAGGGAATGTGGAATTGGGGAAAGTGGAATTGGGGAATGTGGCAATTGGTAAATGTGGGTATTGGGAAATGTGGGAATTGGGAAATATGGGAATTGGGGAAAGTGGAATCGGGGAATATGGGAATTGGGGAATGTGGAATTGTGGAATGTGGAATTGTGGAATGTGGAATTGTGGAATTGTGGAATTGTGGAATGTGGAATTGTGGAATGTGGAATTAGAAAATGTGGGAATTGAGGAAAGTGGAATTGGGAATGTGGAAATTGGGGAAAGTAGAATTAGGAAATTGGGAAATCGATAATTTGAGAATTTGTAAATATAGAAATTTCCGCATGTAGAAATCTATAGACACAGAAATTTACAAGTTCAAGAATCTTTAAATTTGAATTTGGAAAATTGCAACCGTAACCAATCTAAACACAGCTCCAAGTGCCAACTCGTGGGTTCACATCGGTATTGTGCTTTTGGGCGCCATCTTAAATGTACACCGATTGCAAATGGCGGTTTGACGTCAGCTGAGCGACAATATATGTCGATTTTCGCTCTTCACGCGTCAACTCGTGGGTT